CTTCTCGAATTTCGAACCTATGACCTGTCAGTCTCGCGCCCAAGCGCTTCATCAACCACTGAACCGATATCCAACGTCTTGTTATTACAGTCGTTTGCAAGTTTTATAATTGGTGTTTATATATTCTACAAAACTAATAGAAAGCCGAAAAACTTATATGAGGTATTTAATTTCCACGAAAGGAGACGTTATGTCATGAGTTACATAATTCAAACTACTAAGTTAACTAACAAAATAAAACTAGAAGTCCTGTCCTGAAAAAGGAGTTCATGTTTTTCCTTTAGTAACATTTGTAATAGGATGAGTTATAACGAACTTTGAAGATATTTAGTGATCATTACTTGTGATATGTGGAGATGGCTTTTGTTACCAACTGTAAATAGATGACAAGCTATTGAAAATCAGTAAATTCTTGACGAATGTCTCGCTCTAGTGTGAAACTTCTCAATAACGCGCACTCAGGATTCCACAACGGGTCAGTCCCACGACCTTTGCGTATCACGGTAAGCATTTAGCTATTAAAAATTCTGGATCGCCATCCAGCTTTAATCAATTCACAATATAACTTGATGGTCACTCCATCCCAATGAGGACCACTGTTTTACTGACAAGATGTCTAAATCACCTATCAGTTCATTTCTAAATATTCAGAACTTTCCATCCTACATTATTATTATTATTACGATCTATTGAAGGGATTTCACACTGCTCAATCTTTCCAATTTAATTTCTCCTCATTTTATTGTTAATTGCCTGTGGCTCTTCGAGAGTTATTGCCTGTCCCAAGCTCGGGTAAAGGAGGAGGGTTGGGTGTGGGTTCGACAACCACATCCCGTAGATAACAATCATGCTAGAAACTCCAACAAGACTAAACAAACTACACCATTATAACTCTGCCGTGGTAGATGAAGGAACAATTATTGTTATTCATTAGAAGTAATTCTCAAACACTAATCATTATCACTTCTTTGAACTTCGATCATATGCTAACGTGAAAGGTATTTCATTTTTAATGGGAAAAGAAAGAGTAGATCATTAACTTTAATTAAATAGCACGGCGGACCATTCTTTCACTCACTCAATCATAAACAAAATGAAAACTGTTCATGAATGAGTGGCTCGCCCAAGAATAAACAATATAAAAACTGCCCTCAAACGCCCTGGTACGGCTGACAGTGGGGAGAGTCCGCTCTCCCCCTCCAAATGCTGTTATGTGTCCACTTGGATACAACTGCCTTCTGTCAACATGAATGTTGTTTACGAAATTGAGAGGACGAAAAGGGAATTTCCGGTGCTCTAACCGGGTTGGTGGACACAGAGAGTCCACCTAGGGGAGTTGGAAAACCCTGGTTACAAACCAATGGTGCACATGAGTCACTGACTGGTCGAGAATTGAATGCTACCGCCGAATACGAATACTGAAAGTTTTTCTGAAATCATGTGCACCATTCAAACTGGCTTCCTTCAACGTTCGCACACTTATTCAGATCGGACAACAGATAGAGCTGGCTGTGTCTTTAGAAAGTCTTAATACCGATGTTTGTTGTCCAGCTGAGACCCGTATTTAAGACTGGTGAAGTACTACAAATCCGCTCTCCATAAGACTTGCTTTACGTGCGTATATCAGGGGACCCTGTGGCACCTTCGTCTGGTCTTGCTGGCGTTAGTGTCGCACTAAGCGCTAGAGCTGAGGCAACAGTAATTGATTGGATTCCCATTAACAGTCGGTTATGTGCTGTTAGAGTAGAAGGTTCCATCAAAGTGAGAAGAAATCGGTGTGAAACTGTTTTTTTTGACGTCGCCTATGTTCCGACAGATTGCAACCCGAATGCGATCACGGATGAGTTTTACCACCAGTTATCTGCTCTTCTCCAGAAAGTGCGTTCGACAGATATTGTAGTGCTAACCAGAGACTTGAATGCTCAGGTCGGGCGTCTAGCCACAGAAGAGAATCGTTCAGGTGGCCGACAGGGACTTGTTGGTCGCAGGACAGATAACGGGGACCGTCTATTGCAACTGTGCGCAGACCACAACATATTTCTGACTAGCACTAACTACTGGTACAGTCATCGTCGATGTGCCATCTGGCGTCCTCCCTCTGCATCTCAAGCCTAGACTCAGATTGATCACATCATGATCAGCTACCACTGGCGTGGTTGTGTACAAGACTGCCGCTCCTTTTGGAGTACCTATCTGGACTCTGATCATCCACTTGTTTGCGTTAATCTTATCTTACATTTTAGTGGCCAACAAATTCATCGTCCTAAACGAATTGGGGTCAGGAAATTGGTTGCAACTAAATATCAAACCGAGCTAGGTTAGCTAATATTCCACAGAAAAGTATAGATGAGCATTGGTTGCAATTGCCGATGCCATGAAAACGGCGAGTAGTCACATGCGTCTTCGCGAAACGTCTCACTTATAAGCACTTCTCGACTTTGAGTATGCGGATGATATTGTCTTACTGCGCGATAATAACCAAGTCAAGCAATCCGCACTTAATCAGTTGGCAATTAGCGTTCGTAGGTATGGCATGTGCTTCGCACCTCCTAAGTGCAAAGTACTTTTACAAGACTGGCAGGACCCTGATCCTGCATTCACCCTGGGCAGTAAGCGGATAGTAGTCGAGAAGTTCATGTACCTGCATAAGTGCTGGCGTGAGTGGTGAGATCAATTAACGTTTAGTGAAAGCCAGAGCAGCTTATGCCAATCTGGGCCACCATTGGCGCCGTTGTGATGTTAGTCTGGCTGTAAAAGGTCGGATCTACAATGCGTCGGTGAGAGTAGTTTTGCCCTATGCTCGTGAAGCCTGTCCTTTTCGAGTTCAGGATGTTAGACGACTCTGTGTTTGATTATCATTGTCTCCAAAGGATTGCAGACATCCAGTGGCAACACCACGCTGGTATTGCGGAGGTTCAGCATCGCGTGCTCGGGCACAGAGAAGATAATTCAATTGGTGCCACTATCTTGAAACACCGACTTCAGTGGCTTGGACATATTCTACGAATGTCGTCCCAGAAAATTCCACGTTGTGCATTATTTGCCGACGCTGGGACTGGTTGGAAAAAGCGGAGAGGTGTCAGTGTATGACATATTGTCGTGGTATGAAAGAAAGCTGCACAGGACTGGCATCTGTTGATCCTTCACGACTACCTGGTTGCTGTCCTAGAGATGGTGTAACACAGTCGCTAGAGACGTTACCAGATATGGCTTGAAATAAAGCCATTGGCGATGTTGCTGTTATCTTCTTTTACTTTCTTCATAAAAAAGACGTAACCTCTTTAAGTGGAAGAGTCCTTTGGGGCTGGCTGTACTTTTGCTAATTGAACTGTCCCTCCCACTATTGGTATTTCACTATCATACACTAATTTCTGTTCATTGTTGTACTTCTTATACGCACCTTACATTCTTTATCTCTTCCCATTCTCATTATTATTGTGTGGCGTATATATATCTTATGCCCCTTTGTACCAATATTAATGTGTTCAAATAAATATATAAGAGTAGCAAAGTTAGTGATAGTATCAATGGTTGCAGAAGAAACAAAACATAATCAATGTAAGTGGAGAAAAGGGATAATTTTAAAGCTCATGAGGATGTAGGGAGCGAATAAAGAATTCTGAACAATGCCACTCAATGTCTCCAACAGTTGTTTACAATTATCATACAGGCCAGGTAGTCTGTACCTACCTACATGGCTCAGTCCAGTTGTCAATGACTTTATGGACTTGTGTCATATCTTGACTTGGTCACTTTTAACTTCCTTCCAACCTATTCCTACACTGGAAGACATCATTTGTCGAGGTGAGCGGTGGTTGAAGATACGTAAAATGTCTCAACTACCTCAGCTGATGATGATTTACTACCTCATCAGCCTATTGTCATATCTACCTAGCACGCTATGCCTAGCCTCGGCATTACTCACTCGGTGGTCTCAAAATACACGAGAGAAAACCTATTGATAGGCTTTATGGAAGAAATTCGATTACTGATGTTAGCTCGAAAACTCTATCAAACAACCTTAAACTACTAACAAGTAGTTCGATACTTGTGCATAAAATACTAGGTATGCAAAAGTTGGGAATAGTCACTAATGTGAAACAACCACAATCTACGAGGCAACTTGATATTCGGGATTTTCAAAATACTTTAGGGTAAAGTAATTTTGAAACACTCATTCGAAATAGGAACTTACACGGCCACTATCTCGGATCAGTCTTACCTTACTGGGCTGTATTTATTCAACTATCATTCAAAGATTTTGTAATGCTGATGACATGGGCATAATAAAAAAGAGCTTGGCAAAAATTTCTGTCGGCTAAACTTGGGATACCAGATTAGAATTCCAGGATGAAAAACTTAAGAGGTTAAAAAAATGTAGCAGAAGTGCTGATATGTGACTATTGTATCCCAACAACCAGCCTGGACATCCACCACTTATTTTCAGTTCATAACTAGGTCTCGAGGTTATATTAGTCACCAGACGTAGCCTCCCGAGTTGATTTTGTCCCAGACAGTCACATAGGTGTGGCACTGGGACGGTGTGGGAACAATAGGAAATGGAGGGAGGATAAGGTGACTAAAGAGCCTGACTTTTATGACTTATACGGATGTTTTGAACAATGAAGATTAACATTTTGTCACAAACAGGCAGTATTTCTAAAAGATAGGATTGATAAATCCAAAGACTTAGACATCAGTTCCGGTATTTTCTGGACAGAATAGGTACTACACTACACGAAAATTCAAACGACAAGGGAAAGGTCTCAATACTTAAGACTCCACATTTGCACCAACAAACTAACATCCGCAATGTCACGCCAAAATTAGCAAGAACCCTAGATACATAATAACTCAGATACAACAAGTGATACATGAAGCTCCTGATTTTGTCCGTCAAAATTCAATCCTAAATTCTCCTAAATCATCAAAGAAAAGTGAATAGGCTAAGAAACGATTATATCATTTTATTTTCAACACATACCCACTTTAGTGGTCGAGTCACACTACAATTCAAAACTTGTAGAACCACTACAAAATCTCACTTAAACCTCCAGCTACTATCTAAATTGAGAACACTTTTAAGTAGTCATAGAAGTGAAGCTATAATTTATGGACGACATTGAACGACGCTAAAGTGACTTTGGGAATGTCCACTTACTAGGGCCAAATGATGGTTATAAAGCAGTATGAAAAGTAAGAATTATGATTTACATTTGATATCAGCTAAAATGACAGGACACTATTTAGACAATTGGATGAATGAATCTCACACCGAAATCCAAGACCTATCATCCTAAATTTGACTGGTTTGTCCATAAATTATAGTCTCGCCGTTATAGATACTGTGTTAGTTTATTATGCTGGAAAAAATTTAAGATAGCTCGGACAAGTAAAGTTATCCAAGTTGGCGATATACTACATAAACTCAAACTATTAAAGCCATGCAATACATTTATGGCCTTACAATTACAATAATCTATAACTAAACAATGTCATCAAATTTCCATGTTTGAGGTTTTTGAAAAACCCATATATTCTTATATATTTTTATGAACAGCAGTTTTGTCGACCAGTGACCAATCGCTTGAATGAAACCGCATAAGCCAAAAGATGATAAGAACTAGCAATTAGAAGAAAGTATTGTGATATATTTATTGAGTATTTTTGCTTTTCGATTCTTTGAAAGGAACATCTGAAGGCCCATACTAAAAAGGATGTTAAGAGGAAAACCATTTACCTTGTCCCATAATGTCTTAAGGTCCCTTTTCATAGCGTAGGCATCCTCACCATCGGCGTAATATTTAGGTTCTATATCTGATACTCTGGAAAGACTGCTCAGAAACAAAGTAGGAATTACACAAAGTGTAGAGTTTTTTTGTAGAGAGTAAGTGCAGCCCTATTACTCTTCCGAACGTGAAGAGAGACATATCTAGCGTGAAAATTTTCTACCATAGCTCTTGATGCCAGATTCATCAGCGTTTGAGCAATCCCTAATCGCCGATATGGCCGTTTGACTGCCAAAGAAGTAATATGTCCATAAGGGACGTCTTCTGGATCTTCTTCCCTATCCAAAGTTAATGTACAACGACTTCTTACATTTTTGCCAAGACATAGCCCACAATCTCCCCACTATCTGTTTCTGCTACATATGATAATTGTGGCCAAGATAAACCATGATAAAAATAGTACTTCATTTGATAGTTTTCCGGCAAGCAATCTAGATTGCAATCTCTCATGTTAAGCAAGTCGGTTGGCTAGGGGATAAATATAAATTGAAATTACATCCTACTCTAGCATTCCTAACATTCATCTTCACGTAGTAACGTGACCTACAAATCAAGAACAGCGGCACTATGAGGCCTTACAGGTGCTATCAACTAAGTAGAAATATTAGTCTTTATTCACATTAAATATATCATCCTATCTTCAGCTTAAATGTGTTCTTAAGAAACACAAAGTATCATATTTGTTAACTGTTACGATACGATGAGTCAGTATAGACAATAATGTGACTTCGACATACGATCGTGTAGATTAGGTAGTCACATGATGACAAATATACGCTTTTGGGAATAGGTCTATTATTATACTAATACCAATAACGAAGCAGACCATAGTTCAACAACTTGGCGAATGTGAGAGCATCTTGCTAAACGGTGTTGCGAAGATTGAAGCCTGTCCCCTTGGTACAACAGAATAGAACACATCTGGGTCGGGAGGAGAGTCCTTGTCTATAAGCTTCAGTTTTCGATGCGCCAAGTTATCGCTCAGGTTCACTTCTGAGTGTCCTGTCGAGTTTTAGGTGAAACTCTCGTCGATATGGTAAGTATTGAATGGTTGGAATGTTTCAAAACACTGTTCTTCCAGGAGCTCAGCAGCGTCACAATAGTTGTTGGCTGGACCATTAGGATCTAGCAGTTGGAAAACTCTGGCTTTGGCATGCCAAAGGAGGGGGGCTGCAAGACGAAACAAACTCTTCGGATTAGAGACCAATTTACTGATTAGCTTGACATAAAACTGTAGTCTTTCTTCACTAAGCGTCTTCGTGAATTGATTTCTTGCTTGCTTGAATTACTTTTATGCGTTGCTTTAACTGGTTCGTTTGTATTCCTTACAGTAGTACCTCCTAAGTTTCAGCATTCGGAAATTACCACTCCTCCTTATAACCATACGTTCATTGTAACTTTTGAGGACCGTTTGTAAGACAGATTGCTTTTTAGCACGTAAGATCGTGTTCAGTTAAAATGTCTAGTGAGCGTCCACATCAAGCTAAGGGTAGACTTCTCAACAGACGTTCTGTACGTTTTTCCGCAAAGCTGACATTGTAACATGTGAAATTTCAGTGCATGTTTCTAGTAGAATGTTTTAACTTGATCTTGACGATAAAATTAAAGGCTATGACGACATGATCACGTCTTTCCATGGGTGGGGCGGGATTGAGAGGTTGTTAACTAGGAACTCTTCGTTCGTAAATATTTAGTCTAAGCGTGACGGCTTCCGACTGTTTCTCAAGTGAATTATTGTGTACACATTTCCGAATGATCTCAAATCTTCATTGAGGTTAAAGAACCGATCCTCAGTAGACTTGCCACCTCTAATGTACGAGTGTTCAGCAAAGTTGACATTGGGTAGATGGATGCTTCCTAGAATCAGGATATGAGGGCATCTGTCGTAAATAGAGCGAGATAATCTTTGTAGCATCCGACTGCGGTACTCGCTGTCAGCAGTGGGTTCCCTATAGGTGACTCCAACAAGACGTCTCGACGCGTCAGCCAATTTCACTAAGCACCATACAGACTCATGGAGAACGGATATTGCCAGCTCCTAGCTCGTAATTTACGAGGATGCCCATGTTTTAGTTAAAAGGACTATCTTCATTAGCAAGGGTCTAGGGTCCCCATCCTTCTTGGCTAATCGCACCACTTGTTGAATCGTTATGTTCTCAGGCCTCAGGGACTGCTTTATAAACTTCCACGCTAGGGAGTCATAGTCTTATTAGTCATGGTCCGTGTTTCCTGTAACACCCTGCACAGCGATATTTCTACGACAAAAGAACGTCTTTCTAAGTCACTTGAGGATGTTCCCGATGGGACCGCACTCAAAATATGGTATGTCAGGCAGTATTCTTAAACCCCCTTCTGATTCCAGCAAGTGACTCACCATCAGAACGTCCTTTACGTTTAAGCCATGTAACCGCCACTAGCTCGATTTCGAGAAGTTTGAGTTATCTATTTAACTCGTATCAGATCGTCCTATCTTTTTTGTCTTGCAGATTGAGAGGAAGATTAGAGTTGTCTTTAAGGTTAATGGTTATGAGAGAATAACCTCATAACATGACCGTTTTCCCAGATGATCTTTTTATTTGACAGTCGGACTGCGTTTCGAATTCCTGCGCTCCTTGCTGATTAGTCGGAACATCATAGTGGTAGATTGCACAGCAAAATCACTAGTTGCTTTTCCTACATGACCTGGGATGTTCAGTTTTTTTCGACAGAGACACTCGATCCCTTCTAACCTTGTTGATGGAAGTCTGCTAGCCTACAGAACTTTCGAGGACCACAGTTGCATTTAAAGTGCCCGTGCTGAGGGACACAAATCTCCCGACACAGTCTAACACCGTTGATGTAATGGTAAGGCTGAGTTTCGGTATAACTCACTAGTGTCAATGCTTGTTCCGTTGATACTCATGTTGTCGAAGGTCCTCTTATCTAATTCGTTTGTTCACCTGTTTCAGGACTGTTTTTTTCCCGGGGTTTCTGACAATTTTTTTCGCAGGCCTGTTATATGAATGATGATGTTGCTCAGCAATCCTCAGCGATCATGTTGCAATCGACACATACCTACCTGCTATTTGACTTACTAAGTATGTTGTAAGCAGTTACTACGCTTCATGAAAGCAACCTTTGCATTTGTCACACTGCGTGCACAGGTGACAGCAAAATGGCATCCAGGTCGCTTACATTAGTTCGTCACGATTATGGTGAAATATGAGTAGTTAGACAGATTCTAGAAGTCTACGATCGTAAAACAAAAAACGAAAAAATCAAAAGGGGGAAAGCTGATAAGACAGGCAGTAAAAAGGTTGGAATATATTAAAACTGGCCTCAAAGTGGAAAACTCGTAGGCTGGAGAGTAAACCGGAGCGAAACTAAGGTTAACTATTAAAGTAATCTGTCAAAGGTTAAACTGCAGATAGATTATTTGGGTCAAAAATGGTACTTTTTATGCGTAAGAAAACAGCAGGAGTTTGAGGAATGCAAATCAAGTTAGGACTAATCTTCACGTTCGTAAATTCAGCGAGCTCCTGATATTTATCTGAGGAACAAGAGGAGACTGAATTCACTGCTCACATTTTCGCCTTTAAGCCAGAAAAATGAAAATTTATGTAGTTCATTTTCTGTGTCTTCATTTCAAAACATTTTGATGTCATTAGCATTAAGTGACATTACAGACTTGATAATATGTAACACGTTTTTAACCCAACATACTCTGTTAAATGTTGATTTTCAAGGGAAAGCATTTACATAAATCGTTGTTTTTATCCTCTGACCAACTAGTAAGTTTTTCACACATCTGAATAGGTATTTAGAATCTGAATGTCTTCAGCCGCAGCAGTAACATACCGAGTAAAAAATGTCGTAGGTCTTATCTAAGTTAACGTAAACAACACGAACTGTTCCTTTAATTATCCAACAAAATATATTCGACCTTTCCCTTGATGGATAAATGTCTGTCATCCAAAGCGATCTTTCTATAAGAGTGTTAAGTACTGTCTGACAAGCGATTAATTTCAGGATAGTTCCAGTGGCTTCATCCATAAATATCCTAACCTGAGCTAAAGGAGGTGGTTACACGTCGTTTATATTTAGGCACTGCCGTTGATATATATTTGACGTTGTCACGTCAACTAAGTGTGTTCTAGACTGGAATAAATTGTCAAGATGTCCAAGCAGTAATGATAGAAGGCACGACAACTCGAAAGGGTTTTAAAATATATCCGCGGAGTAGCCTGCTATGTTTGGCTATAAGGTCGTGAATATTTACACAAAGATAGGTTAATAAAAGGATTTCGTGCTTTAAAACGTACTTGAATGTCTGTTGAATTATGGTCTAGTCTGATATAAGTGCATTCATCTTTGCTTTTATATTACTGGAACCAATACCAAAATTGCAGACTTGTCATGATGTGACCAACTAATATATAAAGTCTTACATGTAGTTCACATCATTGTATATACTGACCTGTTATGTAGTGATGATCAGCAGTCTGACACTAAACTCTCTTGAAGAACACAGTTAGGCTGTAAAGAGAGCAATATATTTGGTGTGAAAACCAAGAGACTACACAGAGTGACTACGTTTAGATGGTTGAGTCATGACATTTCCATTACTGTTCCCCGTTCACCATTTTTGGACCTCTCTTTAGTTTTAGACATTGAATGTAAATCTTCTCAGTAATTATATGTTCAGCTTCAAAGATCGTGTGGTTAGAAACTAATAGCACTACACTACTCTCCCACCAGACCCAACGCGACGGTGGTTCGATACCAAATGAAGTAGGGTTGCCCTGTACTGGAGGTAACCAAGATAATAACGGAAATCATCCAGATACGGATAAACCGAAAGATAACTAGAAAAGACTGTGACAATCGATCTAGAAATACATGTAATAAATTTAGACTTTTGCCACCCCCAAGTCTCTTATATTCTAGAAGGGACCCACCTACTGGCGAAGCCAAATGAAGCTGCTGAATGCTTGGCGAATTCTTACTACCAGATAGTAGCTACAAGTAGTGACTATATGAATCAGAGTAGAAATAAGAATACTGGCGAAACTACGACGCGTTAAGTTATGGGGTTTAAGTGGTAGTCAGTATTAATTCAATTATTTGTGCTACGATAATAATAGGTCTGGTCGAATATCGTAATATATATATATATAAATATATATATATATATATAATTTGAGAACTTATGTCGAGGTCATATCATTGTTTGAATTGAATCGTCCTATCGTGACATTCAGTAGCATGCCATTTATGGACCTTTGAAAGACACATTTTGGCCGAAGATGGAATAATATATTTAATATCAAGATCAAGAGATGATATGGAGTGACCATGTTTGAATGATCTACCTATATCATGTTCCCGCAATTACTTTACTGACATTCTCCAAGTGTTAAACATTTAATGTAAGCCTTCTCGGTTATTGTAATTTCAGCTACAGCGATTTTATTGATAGGAACAAACGGAACTACAAATTCTTAACATTATAACAGTGTACGTCAACTGTCTTGAGTATAATGCAGACATCCACAATAAGACTATAAATGCCAGTTTTTTTCAAGATGACATTAGATGCTGAACAATTCAATAGTGATAAACCCTGACAATAAAGAGTACATTTATATAAGCAGGGTAATTGTTCTAACTTCGAATTTGAAGTGAACAAATTTAAATTTCATTATGACATAAAAATAAAAAAATGGTTATAATTGATATGATGGAAAGAAAAGTCAATTTTCTATTGAATTACTCCTTATGAATTTTATTCAACATTGACATCCGTTTTGATTCAACGTGAAGATCATTCAGTGTAGTATTTGATTGTTTTCCCCGTATGATATTTTCTTCTGTATAATATACGATATTCTTGTATTCACTTGAAACGAAATATGCTCACAGTCTGCGATTTGTTATAACTGATTATGTGATTTAATCCTAATCATTAATCAAAATGGGTGTACAATCAATATATAAACCAGTATATTTTAGACTATACTCGATTCGTCGTCGTCGTCGTCGTAGTGTTTGGGGGCTAATAAATCTTCACTTATACCAGTCTTTATGTTCTTATTTGCGCATCGTGGGAATTGCCAAGTTCCCTCGTTCCGAATATAAATGATCAGCGTTTTTTTTTTGCGGCACAACAATAACGACAACCGAATATAACAATAATTGTATTTTTAATATATAAAATAAATTGAATGAGTCGATCTAAAGAATGATCCATTTAAAAGGGATACAAATCAATGATACACAAAACAAAAAAAAACGATGATAAAAATATTCATATATAAAAGTAAAATAAAATAATCATTATGAAATTAATTCGTTCAAAATATCCCTTATCAACCATAACATACATTTCATATTATGACAGATAAAAAATTGGGAACAAAGTTATACAACAATTAATACCCATTTCATTCATTCATATTAAAAAGGATGTTGTTTTGGTTCAAGATACATACAATTTGTTATAATTAATTCTTGTTCTTGTTTTAAATTTTTTGAATTTTGATAAGTAATTTTATGAATTTGATTATCAATATAATCATTATTATTGATTATTTCATGATGATTTGTATATTTTGTTTCTATTGTCATATCTAATGTATCATATTCTAATTGACTATATGGTTCATATATAGATAATTGAGATTTACTTATTGGGATATTAGTAGTTAATTGTGTTTTTTCTTGTAAAAAACAATCAGGTATTTCATCATAAATTGTTGATTGATATTTTTCAGATTGTATTGGGATATTGTATCTGGGTATAAATGTTAGTTTAGTGATAGATCTTTGTGGTGTTGGTGGAGTTTGATTACATAGAATAGTTGATTCTTTACTTAAATTTGAAGAGGTTGGTTTTGTAGTAAATAGTACTTTGGAACTACATAAAAATGATAAATGGACTATATATATTGTATATATAAAAATTTTTTTATGATTCAATTTCTCTTTATTATCATTTATAATTTCGCCCCTTTCTCATCCTATAACATATAAATATTACCAGAATGGGTTTTGTGGAGATTTTTAGAAATTTCAATGGTTGAAATCATGAGTCAATTGAAGCGACACCACCAAGGAAAACACGGAAGCACTGGACGGCCGTTTCGCCCTAGTATAGGACTCCTTAGCAGTGCGCATCCACGATCCCGCACCCCGCGGGATTCGAACCCAGGACCTATTAGTCAATCTTAATGATCATCCTGAATATGTCGTTTATTTTTCTTGTTTCTTATATCTCTGAACTAAACTTTATTGATTGCAGTATATAAAAATTTCTATAATTATACTATTAACGTAAATTTAAGCTGTTTGTAGCTGATAATAAGCCTTTTAATATAATGAGTTCATGTTATTATGCAAATTTATTCTTTGCGCTTTATTTAGATTTATCAAGAGACTGGGCTGTATGTATCGGTAATATATTAGCTAGCGGTGCGAATGTATAAAGGTTAATTGACTTTATTCTTTTCATGAATTTATTTTGCTTGATAAACTTAAACAATAGTTGAATTCAGGGGTCAATTTAAGCTAAATCACCATAGAACACTTGAAAGCACTGGACGGTTATTTCATCCTAGTATAGGACTCCTTAACAATGTTCTAGCTTAGATCAACTCATGAATTCAACTATTGGAATGACTACAATCTTCATTCTAAAAATTTAAACAAAACAAAAATCCTTCTACTTAGTTGTATATAAGTTATTGAATTTAATTCTTTCAAATTATTGACATACATGAAACGTTTTTAAAAAAATACAGCGAGACTATAATTTATGGACGACCTTTGAGCGACGCCAGACTAACCTTGACAGTGTTCACCTAATAACCAGGACCAAATGAAGGTTATAAACCTGTATGGCGAATTAAAATTATGATTTACACTTGATGATTTAAGTTAGAAATTAGATTTAGGATTTTCATCATGAATTAACATAAATTATAATACCAAAACTCTATTTATCCAAATGACTGAGTGAATTTCATGTCAAAATTCGAGATTTGTTATCTTATACCTAATTGGTTCGTTCAGAAATTATAGTCTCACCAAAAAACAAGCAAACAAATGGATTATTCTCAGAAGGGGTTTTGTGGAGATTTTAGAAATTTCGCTAGTTGAAATCATGAGTCAAATAAAGTTAGACCACCATGGAAAACCTGGAAGCAGTGGACGACCGTTTCGTCCTAGTATAGGACTCCTCAGCAGTGCGCATCCACAACTTTATGGATTGGTGGAAGTTAGACATTAACAACACTGTTGAATGCCGGCTCAGTGATCTAGTTGGTTAAGTGCTTGCGCGCGAAACCAGTAGGTCCTGAGGTTCAAATGGATTATTCATTAGTAAATAGTAAATGATATAGAATTATGTAATTGTAATTGCAATTTAAGTAATAACTATGTAACATTCAATAACAAACATGTAAATCATTTATATTATGTAATAATATGCATTGTCAAATGATTATGATTAGTGTATTTCAAATAGTGTACACCATTCATAATACACCTAGTTTTTTCTTTACAAAAAACAACAACAATATTATTATTATTATGACTGTTTATAAATGTATTATAGATCGTATTTGTAAAATATTGTACACTTCACCATTTCTGTTTACAGTTGAATTGTTCAGTATTCTAAAATTATAGCAGTTATAGACAAGTAATACTGAAAACTTGTATTCGTATATATAATAATATACATTCACTTCTGATCAATACTCTTATATAATATAAATAAACAATTATTTTATTTTTTATTTTTGAAAAATATTATTCATTAAATTAATTCAATATCTCATTAGTAGTCAAGTGTCTTTATCGAATTTGAATTAAGTTCTAACTAAAATATAATTTTAATTCCATAGAGATAATTACACACCCACATATACACACACAAGGTAAACACGTTGTATGTATGATAGGAATGAAATAAACTAAATGAAATTGGATGATCACTTTAAGACATTTATATTCAGTTTCAAGTTAGCAAACTCAGCTTGGAGCCCCTCTAGGGCTACTGTCGGTTCTAAGCTCGGATAAAGGAGAAGGGTTGGGCATGGGGTTAGCCACACCATTCCGTCGAACACGAATTCACTAAAAAAAACGCTAACCAGAAAAAAAATTATTTAGACCATTTAAACTCTCCCTTGGACGTCAGAAGGCTTTCATTTAGAAGAGTTATGATGTCTCATGTTGAAAGCTGAGTTCCTATGGAAGTCACGAGGCGAATGTTCCTTCTGATAATCAGAGCAACCTTTTACTTAAATACATGGAATGCTCGTATAATGTGGGAGACCAGGAGAGTCTTCCGAATTGTTGTAGAAATTGCATCAAATTAGCAACTCGATATATTGTTGATTGAAGGGAAATAAACAATGTAAAACTATAAATGATAGTTGGTTGATCGAATTTTTTATGCATTAAATTAGAAGTCAAAGTAAATGGATAAGTACATCACAAATATTTTATTATTTTCATTTGATTTGATTTAGAAAAGATAGATTTTTACAGAGAAAGTATTCTGCGAGATCTCGAAAAATTTTTCAACAACATCTGGATTTAATTGATTGTGTTTTACATTGTTGCTGAGAAATTTAATATTTTTGTGAAGAAACAAATATTTCAAAATTATTATAGATCTTCTGAGAATTTAACTGAGTTTAACTCTATTTATATAGGCATAGGAAACTAGAATGAATGGTGACTTGGCATACGCTAAACATTACTCAACTACTACAGTTTACTGACGTTCAAAATAATATATCGATTCATTTGATTTTAATTTTAGAAGCTTTGACTGAGATTTCTAACTCAGTAGCTTCAATAGTCGTTAGTGCACTTGATTTTCGGCAGCCTGAGATATATCACTTTGTTCCTGTGGTTAATTACAACATAAGAGAGCAATAGTTTGATATAAAAGTTGAAATTTGACTTTACCCTTTTTGATTTCGTGATATCCCAAAGATGCAATCACTTAAGAAGTACTGACAGGAACTCGTCATGTAAATAACTTTTTTTGCTAAGTAAAGACTTCGTCAAAAGTATTCTGATTTTAGTAGTTTAATTTTTTTATATCGTAGCAACTAGTGGTCAAAACGTCACCTTCGTATTAGAAACGATAATTAAGGAGATCTTAATGTGCAGCAAAACTCCTGACTTTGCTGAGATTTACTAGACTTCACATCCTGACAATCTGAGGTAAAAAGGCTCTCTTCAGAAAAGATTAGGTTGACAGATGACTCATTGCTCTTATCGTACTAGATAAATCTATCATTTTATTGTTGACCAATTTTTCATACCCTCCAATTGATTTTAGGGCTGAGTTGGTTTTCATATCTCTATTTATTTTTTTTATGACTTGAAACTGATGCTTATGAAAGTCCCCTTAATTATTATCCTTAAACTTTCTAAGTCGAAGTAATTGACATGTCGAGTGACAATCTACAACTAGACAACAATAAAGTAAACACACATGAATACAGGCGGTTAGACTGCCAGATATGAAGTGACTCACATCATCAAGTTGGTTTCATAAAAAACATTGAATCTGCTCCTTTTATGTTAGAATGATTATTGTTTAGTCACTAAGTAGACTTATAGACCTCGTCTATTTCACATTGTATGAACAAGTGTTTAGAAACTTTTCATTATGCATAGAATTTACTATTTTATCTTTTTTCTTGTCATTTAAACTTTATTATATGTCAGTTGGCTAGGGATTAGATGATGAAGCTAAGAAGATAATTTTTCACTGAAAGTGTTTTCATTCACTGATTCGTTTTTGCGATAAGCATTCAAAGCTTCTCAGTAAACTTTAATTCTGAGTTATTGAATATCAACTATTTCTTCTGTATTACTCATTTTGAATTGTTGACAATACGACTGGAAATCAATGAGAGGTATATAAATACATATGGAAAAAACACTAGCAATCCATTATCTATTTTTTAAAAAAAATCAAGCAAACATTTAAGACGTGACAAAATATTTTACCCAAATGTTGCAACCGTGTTAGTTCTCGTTTAACAAATAAGTGTGTATAGCGTAAATGAAACTTAAACTTTAGAAATCCTCATTAACAATTGAATAATAGCATCGACTTACATTATAGGTTCACGATTCCAACCCATTCTATAGAAACCACATAAACGTTTTTGTCTCCAACACATATAATATAATATTCCACATGAAATAAGGCACAGAACAATAAATACGCTGATAAGCACATATATCCAACTGTTATTTGCTTTTTCTATTACCTAAGATGATAAATATATTTCAGAAAAAAATATGCGAGCGAAATAGTTATCAGGATGGGTCAATCAGAATTGAGGATGTAAGTTTTAGACTTTGTACAAAATTCAACTATCATTTATAACAACTAGAAGAAATATCTTTCTATATACCTTAAAATATTTAAAATGATTGTAGACAATTACTTTTTGCCATAACTGAATAACAATGATGATAGTGAACAATATAAAATTCTAAGTTCTGTCTCTAGGTAACACATAAAAGATAAATAAACACTATCGTTAAATTCTGAACCTCAACACAATCATAAAACAAATCTTAACTTGATAGTACTATATATGTTATAGGCAAACTAATTTATCCATCCATTCGTCCGTACAGAATTTTTCATTATAGCTGATGTCAGTTATTGATAAAAACTCCAAACCTAAACTCTTAAACTATACTCCGAATAACTAACTTTAATGTATTAGAAAAATCTATTAGGGTCCTCACAAGGGTCTGAGAGGTTAATTTTTAGTTTACGTCTGTTACTCATCATGGAGGAGCATAGGCCGCCCACCAGCAGACTCTATCCAATACTGTCCCAAGCAATCCTTTCCAGCTCCTTTCAGTTGTTGTTCATCCTTTTCATATTTACTTCTATTTCCCAACGTAATGTGTTCTTTGGCCTTCCCGTTTTCCGGTTCCCCTCAGGATTCCAAGTTAGGGCTTGCCTCGTGATAGGGTTTGATGATTCGCGTGATGTATGTCCTATCCATTTCCACCGTCTTTTCCTGATTCCCTCCTCAGCTGGAAGCTGAATGGTGTTGCTGATGGTATCCGGTCAATGGATGTTGAGTATCTTGCGTAGACAACTATTTATAAATATTTGTACCTTCTTGATGATGGTTGTAGTAGTTCTCCACGTTTGAGCTCCGTATAGTAGAACTGTCTTGACGTTCATATTGAAGATTGTGACTTTGATACTGAAAGTTTAAAGTTGTTTTGAGTTCCATATATTCTTCGATTGTAGGAATGCGGCACTTTCTTTGCCAGTCTTTGCCTTTACGTCTAAATCTGGTTCTCTTTGCTCATCGATGATGCTTCCCAGGTACGTGAAGGATTCCACTTCTTCCAGAGTTTCGTCATCAAGTGAAAGCCGAGTTCCTTTGAGAGGTCAGATAATTTGTATTTGTAAGGACGAGTTGATGTGTGGTATTTTACAAATTAAAAGCAGACTAACATGCGAAATACATTAATAGATTCAGTAGATATGTAAAATTGATTTACAATTGTAAATATTATTGTCGTTTGTTTTCCATAAATTATTGTCTTTACAAAGATTGTTTACTGGTTGGCTATAAACCGGTGAGACGTTTGCCGCTGTTTTTTTCATGTTCGTCCTTAAACTATACTTTCGCGAGAAAAAGCAAAAATTTAAAATAGTTGAAACCATGAGTCAATTGAAGCTAAACAACCATGGGTTGGTTGAAGTTAGACATTAACACCGTTGGATGCCGGTTCAGTGGTCTATAGGTTAAGTGCTGGCGAGCGAGACTGATAGGCCCTGGGTTCAAATCTCTAGGGGGAGGGCAAGATCATGGACGCGTACTGCTGAAGAGTCCCATACTAGAACGAAACGGCCATTCAGTGCTTCCATGTTTCCCATGATGGTATAGCTTCAATTGACTCATGATTTCAACTACTGAAATTTCTAAAATCTCCACAAGATTAGTAGTATAAAACTAATTACTGATAAGTTTTTTAGCTAAAAGATTTTATGATAAACGTAACTAATATTCACTAATCCATGCTTTTAACTTCTTTTCTTCAGTTTGGATAACAGGAATTAAAGTAATAAATTAGATAGATAAATTAAAAGGGTTCCAATAGACTTTTATAAAGTCTAAATAAATGATGAAGATAACAGGTGATTTATTTATAATCTAACATAAATCTGTCTTATAATCAGAAAACCATCGTCAATTTCATAATTTTTCAGTAAGATTATCGTAGGTTCGATTTAAAAAAAAACATACTACATAGATTCAATGAAAAGATGTGTGTTGAATTTAACTATATCTCCGGAAAATAACTTTCATTTACTAAAGTTCTTAAAATAGATAGGTTTGCTAGTTGACTCAGACTACTAGTATAACAGTTTTCTTGTAAGTACATTGTTGTGAACAACCCATTGCGTTGAAGGTGCTCAATGAGTTCCTGAAGTATAACGTAAAGTTCACTGAAACGAGAACTACTATTGAATTTATCAATAGATGCATCGAATCAGGTCATTATCCTAGATTGTTTTTTATTCAACTATATCGAATAATATGCCATTATTTGAGTAAGTAATAATCAAGTAATAACCTAAAATATTCCAATGAGTCCAACAATAACAATGTTAGGGAACAATGAAAGCAAACTTTTTGAAAATTGCATATATGATAAAAATTCGATAATATATCAACTACAGATGATATATAATAGTTTCAGTTACTAACATTTTACTAACAAAATCTATATCCATCTTTCAGTGCATTTGAGTATAGACATAGTATTAGTTTACAGATGTAGCGTGGAGTCGAGTCGCGGTTGACTATGAACACCACTACAAGAAGACTACGTACCGGTTAACCAATATGATCCTCCGTAAGCCAAATATCAAGAGGCAGTTGATGTCTGTAGTCGAGATGCATTTGTTGGCGATCACGTGGTATCGAAAGGATACCGAGGTCGTGCCAAAGGAGTACAAGCGTGGTTACCGAGCGTAACCGAACCCATGCAAGGTCACAGTCGAAAGATAATGGAGCAGTAATATAGCTGTCTTTAGCACAGTTAAACAAACGAGCACAGTAAAACAGTCAATGGTACAATTGGTTATAATAATAATTGTTTTCATTGAATCAATCGTGTTCTCATGACAAAAGTAAGTCACTACACAGGTAATAACATATTTGTCACACATTTTTCATTTTTTTTACTCTAAGATACAAATTTATTGCTAAATGTAGCAGAAAATGACACATAAATAAAACACAAAATGCAAATTATAAAAAGTTAAAATAACAAACCGATATAACGTTCACATGAAAGTACAATATTTTACCAATGGTAAGTACTTAAAAAGATTATGAACCCATCAGCTTTTTTAAGGAAGTGGTATATTTTAAATTTTTAGTACTTCTTTTTTATCTAATAAATCTTAATGATTTTCTCAACACAATATAAACAGTAAACATTACTCTGTGATACAAAGTAACTTCAAAATTTACGAACTTCATTAACCAATTAACTTCATGATAATCTTTTACTCACTAGCCATAAGTTTTCAGAATAATCTACAGGAACTTTATTGCCGAACTATGACTGATAGAGTTCCACTTTACCAGTTGTGAGACAGCTAGCATTTTGGAGTTTTGTTCGCTAAGCTGGACCAAAACATCCAGCTCAGAGAACGAAACTCCATCAAAATCATCCCTCTGAGATACAAATCTTCTCCACCATTTCACAGCTATCATTTGATGATGTTATATAATGATCATACTATAACGCGAATCGTGAAATATTCATTTTCGACTCTCTAGTTTAAAGTTTTCAAACTTTCCATTCTGTAGTGTGGTTGTAAGTTTCCACTATCGAGAACTCCTAAGTGAGGATTATACAACAGATTTTCAATAGTTCTTAAGCTGATATCAGTGCTTGAAGTAAACTAACTACAAACAATTAAACAATTGGTATTACTCTTGCAAGATTCATATTGGAGTTTAAGATAAAATTCAGTTTCATTTAAATCATAAACCGATGAAAGTTGAAATACTATTGAAAACTGGAAGCACTGGATAGCCGTTTCGACTCAGTTCAGAACTCCTCAGCATTACAAACAAAAGTTTCAGGACCGATTCTCGGCAGCGGGGTCGTAGATGATTACTGCTGAAGAGTCTCGTAATGGACCTTAACGGTCATCTACTGCCTGCAGTTTCCGATAGTTTTCTAACTTAAATCGTGGTCTCAATGTAATTCAACAATCTCTGCAATCACGTACTGACAATAAAATTAAATGTTTTAAAAATAAATATTACTTTTCTTACTATTACGTCATCATTGTTGTTTTCTAATGAGACGGTTGATAAATTTACTCTTTTAAAATTTATAAAGTCAGGTAAACCATTTGAATTAACCATGGGTTTATAATGATCAGGCCATAAAGTTGGAGGTGTGTTACAACGTAGACCAGTCCACTGATTTTGACAAAAACAACGAAAATTTCCATAGAGATTTTCGCACATTGAATTTACATTACAAGATGATGTTATATGGTGGTTGATATTAATACTTTTGTTGCTACCATTATTATTCGGTTTCATTGAACACTCATCTATATCCAATTCACACCTGTTAACAGTATAAAAATAATATTAGTATAATACGGATTATCAAGACACAGAGAGAAACAGAAAAAAGGAAAGATAACAAATAAATGCGATTGTAGGAGATTGTGAAAATTGTTGAACGCCATAGTTTAAATCATAGGGTGATCTGATTTGAGCAACCAACTAAACCAGAAAGCACTGGGCAACTTTCCCGTCCTAGCACGTGAGTCCTCAGTAGTGTGGACCCACGACCCAATCAGAGGTCCAACCCGGGACCTTCGGGATTCGTCGTAAACGTTTAACCTTCAGACCACCGATCCAGTATCTCATGGTCTACATTGCTACCATCAACCGATCGGTGACACTCTGCAGCCATCTCCTGCGAGATAAGTGGGTAAATGTTTCACACTCAAAATGTTTGGACACCTTAGATTACGGTCTGTCACTAGAACTCCATAAATTGCTTCTACAAATTAGTCACCGATAAGCACATGATATCGTAACAACCTATCATGAGTATATTAGGCGAGCTTAAGTAGTATAGACGATAATATTCCTGGAGGTTTTCTAAATTGATGTTTGGTAGTTGAAAGCGATCGTTAGGGAACCTTGAGTCTAGAAGTGAGATAATCATCACTCTTCACCAGGCTTTGTCGACAAGTTTGATGAACTTGATGTCATTCACGAAACTCACACTTTCTTAATTCGCTGCTGTTGCCAAAACCGCTGCCATTGAGCTTTTTTAGAACACAACTGGTCTTGTCTAGGATTAAGATATTTACACCTACTGATCACTGAGTAATTACCAAGGTTTTATTTATCTAGTCTATCGTGCTGATCTGGTTCCATGGATTGAGCTGCACTCTTGGCTCCGAACTAAAGGAGTTGAAAAAGCGTGATACTTTACACATGATGTCATTTGATTAAGAACACTAACAGGAAGCCCTGGGACTAGATATTGTACCAAACAGTACATACTAGCAAGGTGGATATGGGGTCTTTTTAAGTTTGCAAACCAGTACTTAAGTTGATTAAATTTGATAGTATTTTTGGATATCGCATTATTGCGATTTATTCCTGAGACTGAGTCTATCAGATTCTGTTGACGTTTCAAGTTTTTTAAATAAATACGACTAAAAATACTTGTATTTGTAGTTTGAAATTATCTTTACTGTCAAGCTATATCCAAAAAATATTATCCTTAATGACAGCTCCACGTTTCACGTCATAATTTCAACCGTGGTTAAATTAGTTCTTACTGTTTAGACTCATGCAATTATTTGTTGATTTGAATACATAAATGTTGGTACAAAGGGGCACAGAATACATATGCGCCATACAAGTCACTTGATTTGTATGTGGGCTGTGATATTGTCCGAGTGCCCAAACCGAAGCAGGTGGTTTTCTTAGAAGGCTTTACACTGAACCTTCGACCTAAAGGTCTGATCCACAAGGCACAGGAGCAACGTCAGGAGATTCAGTCCTATGGTAGCCGGCTACCAACGATTGATTTATACGCCATCTGTTCCCTCAGGATACTGGAGCCCATGTGCACCATCGGTTTGGAATCAGGGTTTTCAAAATTCCCTAGGTGGATCCTCCATATCCATCAATCCGGTTAAAGCGCGAGATATTTGCTTTCCATCCTCTCAATTTCGTAAACAATACCACTGGTGCGAGAGGGCAGTGAGTAGGACTTCCGTGGGAGTGGCTGTATACTCATTCTGAGAGGGAGAGCTGACTCTCCCTACCCTCGGCTAGACTTATGGCAAAAGAATTAGAATTAAATCACGAATGTTAATACGGCAGACATCCTTAAAACATAAATCGTCATATGTGAAATCACCTATTTTGTTCCAAAAAGCATCTTGGATAGTGTGCTTATGTAAAATGAACGATTGTTAATGACCTTGTGATTTTTATCATTTTATCAGTCAGTGTCTAAAGAAGTAGAAAGAATTACACGAGTCTGGCTTTCGAAGAAAGCTTATCGAAATTCTAATTCCATAACTTATATGCAATCTGTTTAAATTAGTGTTTGAATTTAATATATTATTAACATTATGTTCAATACACATTATAAGCATATTTTTATACATTTAAATTTAATCAGCCTGGATTACCATTTGCCTGTAAACCCAGGTATACAAGCACAGTATGGAATTGGATTGGATAAACTCCTGTTTCCTTCGTCAAGATACTTTAGTAAGCAAAATCCATTTTGACAAAAATCTTGTAATGGACTGCATTGATTCGGGGGTTCTGAACAATGTGGTCCTGAAAAGAAGAAATGAAAACTTTTCTAACTTAACTACTTCCGGAAGCTTATTGTCGTAGTCATTCACTATCTATCCGTTACACTAAGAAACAAACTTTATGTTAAACGACGTTTCTTATAAACGAAGCGATTTGTGTAGTATAAAGATTGACCTCAAACATAACACGCTTGTAGATGATAAAACAATGTGACAATGGAATTTTTCACGAAATTGAAGTTAACAGCAGTGAAATATAAAGGCGAATAAATGAGAAACCAAAAATATAAGACAATGTACTGGTGTAAATGTACCACTTGGCCATATTACATAACTGTTGTAGTTGTCGATGTCTCGTTCCTTATAGACAACAACTAGAAAACGTATGGTTATTCACTAGGTGATAACCAAATACGGATGAAAACACGTATGACTATTGTAACTTGACGTGATTATAAGAAGACTTATCTCATTGGATGTAGACGTGGCAAACGACAGTAACTGACCAGGAATTAAAACGTCTATGGTCCCACTAAATGAAAATTTATTTCAGGCAAATCAGTATGAGACTTAGATATTCATCAATATCAGACGAACAACTTGTCGATAGTAATCTTTTTTTATTAAACTTCAAAAGCCTATAAGCAAACATTCAAATTTATTTTACCCTGACATAGTTGTGGCGAATTCTTGAAATATGCTGTTACACTTTCTAGGTTTAAGAAGATTGTGGATGGAAAATAATTTGCTTTTTTTCAACCAACAATAATCTTGTCACCATCTGGCTCTGCAATCAAATCTCACTGTGATAAATCAAACGAGACTTAGCCAAAAAGTGGCAACATCTGTTTTAAATTATGTATGAAGCTGATATATCCCATAGACCTCAAAGAATTAATGGCTAATTGATCGATCATGTTGACTTAACGCCTACAATTTAAATGGATAATAAACTTGGTTCTTGTAAACAAATAAATAATGTGTTCAAATTTGTTCTGTTCGTAACTTGATTGGGTGGAATATTTTAAGGGTAAATTATGTCTAGAAGTATAAAGACTGTTTACTCCTAAGACGCTGCACTGCTTTTGGTAAAACTAATCACTATCCAAGAAAAACTGTGCGCTATAATCTGTTACATTTCAAGTTTTAAGACATTGAGACTTAATGATGGGAAAAGTGGCAAGAAAATTTGCAGAACTAATCACAAAAAGCATTATAAATAGCCAAATATAGTCATTTAACCACGCAAATTAGTATTTTGGAGCAGTCGAAGATTTTGGTCTCTTAAAACAGCTCACTATTTATGGTCATAAATTTTAGGAGTGCTTTTATTAGAATTTGATTACATACCTGTAAAATTATGTTTACAGGAGCAAGTGTATCCAACATGAGTATTAGTACACGTTCCCATGGGGCCACATGGTGTTAATATACCACAGTGATCAACTTTGTTACATTCATCACCAAACCACCCTAGTTTTTCAGATTAGAAGAAAAGTGAAAATAAATACTGCTGACTAAATCTTGCCAGTTAATGATTTTTCTAAACCTCAACTCTACTTCATAGTTATATTAGTAAAACCATGAGAATCAAACAAGGCATATATAATTTTCACTACACCTGTTCCGACGGGTTATCATTAACTTGCTGACTATGGGTCAAACTTTAAATCTCAAATATGCTTCATGCTTGATAAAATATAACTTGTCGTTAACATAAGTATTTGTGATTTATACGCCGACAGTTCGTGAAAATATCCAGAAATGAAAGTACGGGACTTATGAATGTAGCTTATAAAGACCACATTTCACCAAAATCCATTTAGAGATCGATTTATTTATTTTTGAGCATGAGACAGTAAACACATATAGTGCATCTGTGTCCGTACATTATTCAAACCGAACAAGTAACTATAAGGCCTAGCTAGTTGCTTTGTTGTAGGATGGAAATTTCCTTTTCTAGGTGGCATGTGTTAACAAAAACCGAAGACAAACGGAGGAACTATCACTAACAGTACATGCGTTGGATAAAGTAGTGGGTTAAAATTAAAAATAATACCAATGTTTTGGAGCAACTTCTAAAGTTGGTTTCACCTGGGAATAAAATTATGAGGGGATGAGATATTTTTAATCTTAAGGGTGGAGTTTTATCAAATAAGATAAATATACGGAGATTACGTTGGATATTCAGAGATAATCTACGTAAATACTTGAATGTGTGTTGCTTATTAAACCCTATTAACATCTAGTTGTTCAGTTATCTAAGCTGAAGTCACTCCAGAGATATTAAAGGTTTAAGAACCTCTTGGAGATTTAACATGATTAAACACGATTCCACAAGCCTTAATAAAATCATAAATGTTCATTAATATACTTAGAGCTCCTAAAACTAAACTTGTACTGATACTAATATCTAACAAAGCTAATAATCCTTTTGCGATACCTTAAAGAGTCAGTAGAATGATGATCCGAGAACATTTAAAACCTGACATAATATTGTTGACCCTCGAAAGTTCTTACAGACACAGTTTTGAGGTGAAACTCACACAGACATCAAAAGATTTCCGATTCAGGATAACTTTCAGGTGGTGAGGGATGTTTTCTCAAAGGCAATACATCGTCATGGGCAAATATCCTTTTAGGTAAGCCTGCTCAAGATACATGATTTATTAATAAATCAAAATCAAGAACAGAACATGCTGTAACGTTTTGGTATTAAAACTTTACTGATAGTTTAGCCTAACTAGTAATGAATGGAAGCAATCTAAATGTCTTTAATAAAATGTTTCACACTGATCCTTTTTGAGGAGAGCATTTAAATTAACAACCCCATTATCATATTTATGGAACTTCTTCATATGGATGAACTTACCAGGAATACACACCTTTGCACCTGTTGAAATATCACAACCATAGTGCCGTACCCTTTTTTGTGGGACGCAGTTGACGCTACAGTCACTTCCATAGCTGCCACGATTACAAACAGCCCAAACTGCTACATACATATTTATGTAATCTTGCGTTATATTTCGAGATATTTTATGATAACGGTAAGAAGAAAGGAGTGATGAACCACCAGTTTCAAATGGATACACAGTGTACATGTATGCATTATCCTCAAATGTTGTCAAATGGTCATCTAAATCAGAAAAAGAATAATCTGCATCCCAAACTTCGATCTTCAAGTACAATTTAGACTGTAAGTTGTTTAACCAAAATATATGAATGTTACCGGAAGTTTGTCTATTATTCTGGACAGTGGGTTTGGTATATAGTCCATTAAGTCACCAAAAGATATAGAATTCTGGTTCATTAAAGAAGATTTCGGTGTTCTCATATCTAAGATGTTGCACCCCCTGTTCAATTCTAAGTAATCTAAAAAATGGAACCTACCTCGAATTTTGATCACCTATGCAAATTTTAAAGTACAAATCACAGTAATCTGGTCTTGAGAAAGAGTTGCAATGTCCACTTGACGAACTCACTGTAATGTTAACAAACTTTAAGAATAGTGTTGCATATCCGTCTACTTGCGAAGCATTTTCGAAAACTAAATTTGGGTTCAAAGATAAAAACCTGCTTACTAAATGACAATAAAATAACCAAAGACACTAAATGTCCAATATCCATAAACTAGCGATATCATATAACAACTTGCAAACCTACCGCTTATACAAACCGTTTATATTGATTGGTATAAACAATTTGGTCGGACATGGCTAACTAATTTTTACCAGACGACAGAAGCACGATTTACACAATCTTTTAACGCCTCTCCTTTTTGTTCATTGGATCGGAACTGCAAATAAGCACATTATTTCATATTAATGGAATTTATCTATCTACACTTATTTTCTGCTAACAAGCCACTGTAACGCACCTGCAGTAGCAAGTGAATCCGCATAATGATCAGTCTGCTAAGTTCTTGCCACTAACTCTGAATTCGTGATTTTACTAGATACACTCGTATCTGAAGGTACTCGGTCAGCCATCCTCACCACTTCACGTTTGATAAGCCGTTCCACAAATCTCTTATGAAAACTATTAACTGCATACTTCATTCACTTCAAAAAATCGATCACAAATAAAACATTTGTAGTGATATTGGTCCTAATCTTGAGATCTGAACATGAGGTAACTGATAAAGTAGATACTTAACATTGAACACGGAATGAAAGCCAACAATGGTGAACACGGTAATATTCATGCATTCACTCTGATAGCACTGCTCAAATTCTCAGACATGGTCATTCTGCATAATTTGTCTTTATTCATATTAAAAATGTCATCCTATCTTTGGCTTAAATGTGTTCTTCATAAACACAAATTATCATATTGTTAATTGTTAAGATACCTCGAGCCAGTGTAGGCAATCATGCGACTTTTATGTGTAGGCAGTCACATCATGACATATTTACAATTTTAGGATTGGGTTTGTAATTATGATCGTACTAATAACGACGTAGATCATAATTCTACCCATACCGCTAAATTCCTTTAATTTCGACCTCTGGTTTGATCAGCCTTGTGGTCTTCTTATTATACGAAGTTTTAGAATGAAACGTTAATTAGAACTGCTCAGCTGTGACGTTCTCACGTCGCGAGTTGCGAAGGTGAATGTTGGAACTTGGGATGACGTTCACAACTAACATAATGCTCTCACATGACGGATTTATCCACTATATGATCGGAAAAATGGTTGCATCTACATATTGCTTGTTTAAAAACTAAAGCACTACAAACTCAGGAATATGTAGTGGCATTGGACCACAACCACACAATCCACAAAGCTGAACACGAGACTACTCAGAAAATAGATATTCAATATTTAACACGGAGAAATACCTAACGATGGAGAAGGCGCGAACAAGGAATTGAATGAATAGGGAGTTGGTCGAATGGCATGGCTCGACCATACAGGCGTGGTCCCTGTTGAATGTTATCTTATATATTTTGTTCATATTAAATATATTGTTCTTTCTCTAGCCTAAGCTTATTCTTCATCATGTATTGGTAGTTGTTACGATACAGTGAGTCGGTGTAGTCGTTGGTGTGACTTCCACTTAAGATATTATAGATTAGGCAGTTATATCATGACAAATCTACAATTTTAGGATTAGGTCTATTATTAGAGCAGTACTAATATCATAGTAGACCATAGTCCTACAAATACACACACAATCCACACTAGCGTCCGCAAATTGACAGTTAGTTCTACATCTCCATTAGTGTGTAATGATCTACTTTTACCAAGGGAATGAGATTGGTTTAACGGAAACAATTATTATTATAACCAATTGTACCATTGACTGTTTTACTGTGCTCGTTTGTTTAACTGTGCTAAAGACAGCTATATTACTGCTCCATTATCTTTCGACTGTGACCTTGCACGGGTTCGGTTGCGTTCGGTAACCACGCCTGTACTCCTTTGGCACGACCTCGGTATCCTTTCGATACCACGTGATCGCCAACAAATACATCTCGACTACAGACATCAACTGCCTTTTGATATTTGGCTTACGGAGGATCATATTGGTTAACTGGCACGTAGTCTTCTTGTAGTGGTGTTCATAGTCAACCGCGACTCGACTCGACGCTACATCTGTAAACTAATACTATGTCTATACTCAAATGCACTGAAAGATGGATATAGATTTTGTTAGCAAAATGTTAGTAACTGAAACTATTATATATCATCTGTAGTTGATATATTATCGAATTTTTATCATATACGCAATTTTCAAAAGGTTTGCTTTCATTGTTCCCTAACATTGATATTGTTGGACTCATTGGAAAATATTGGGTTATTACTTGATTATTACTTACTAAAATAATGGCATATTATTCAGTATAGTTGAATAGAAAACAATGTACTTACAAGAAAACTGTTATACTAGTAGTCTGAGTCAACTAGCAAATGCATGTTATTTTTCTGTACTCTTATTAATTTGCTCATAATCTCACGCCAACAATTCCTTTTTTTCTCTTATTTACGATATTAATCTACTTCTTAACATAAGTATGACACTTTTGTATAATATACTGACTGCTCACGTGACAATACACTCTATTTGATATATTACAATTTTTCCGCTACTTATTGTTAACGTTAACCACATAACTCTTCTGTGTTGCTTTCGAAATCGGATGTCTTTTTGAAGCAAATGTACAATTTTTTACAGGAGGCTCTGTAGTTGCTGGTACTATGTGAACCCCACATTGGTTGTCGTAGCCAATTTTTTTCTTATCCTGAAGCCGCAATTGGACCTTATCAATCATTCGCTTTTCAACCTTGACTGTTTTTGTATGCGATTGTGTGTGTTAATTACTTGCTCTCTCCACGAAAAATCGCATCTCTTAAGGTAAATGCCTTCTTGATCCCCTTCACAACAATTCGAACCATTCTGAACCGCTTGAGGAAGTTAACCACGACTTTGGTTCAGTTATATTCGCTTCAGAGCTAGTGGTAAAAGAGAGCAAGATGAAGTGAGTTGCTTTACAATACAAGAGGTTTCTTCTAGGATCACCGTCAAAGGTTTCGCAGTAAAATAGAAGGGGCACCTATGATAACACCAAGGGTAATATGTAGAACTATGGTCTACTATAATATTAGTTCTGCTCTAATAATAGACCTAATCCTAAAATTGTAGATTTGTCATTATATAACTGCCTAATCTATAATATCTTACGTGGAAGTCACATCATCGACTACACCGACCCACTGTATCGTATCAACTACCATTACATGATGTAGAACAAGGTTAGGCTAGAGAAAGAACAATATATTTAATATGAATAGAAGATATAAGGTTACATTCAACAGAGACCACGCCTGTATGGTCGAGCCATGCCACTCGATCAACTCCAGTCCATTCCATACATTGATCGCGCCTTCTCCATTGTTAGGTATTTCTCCGTGTTAAATATTGAATATCTATTTTCTGAGTAGTCTTGTGTTCAGCTTTGAAGATTGTGTGGCTATGGTCCAATGCCACTACAAATATCCATATCGTTTCCATCGTTGTAATGTTTGGTGAATTCATTGTTTCGTCAGTTTTCAAAAGTAACGAGATCAATGTAAACGCCTTTAATATTACGAAGCTGATGGAAACAGTGGTTCAGAGGAGTTGGTTATACCAGTTCTTTCTAGGTTTCCCATACAATTAGTTCAATTATTACCTTATATTTATGCCTTCAGCTTCTGAGAAATTCAAACAAGTAAAGCACTTGTCCATAATCAATAAAGATTGTTCACAACACGGGCGTTAAGTTGAAGGAACAAACGATTTCTTTATATCTCTCTTAGAAAATGTTTGATACTTGAAGACATTGAATGTGTGATTACCTTGGTCAACAATTACTGCGCATTTCAAGGTTCTTATGAGTCATGACAACCCCGATACTGTATAGAAGATGTGTTAATTGGTAACGTTAAATTTATTATTACTACTTGTTAGCAAGGAAAATATAACAGAATTGAATTTCGATATACACGAGGCATTTTGCTGTCGAAATGTGATAATATGCCCAGATTGTGGTGTCAGCCTTCTGAAAACAAAGTTATTGGAGCATCAGCTGGATGAGCATAGTAAAATTAAGTGTACATATTGTGACTCTTTATTTCAAGAGTCCAGTGTTATGGAACATGAAGTATGCGTTTCAATAAAAACTTATACATATTAGTTTTTATGCCCTAGACGACTGGTGGAGTGCGCTTTTTGTAACTTGGGTGTGACCATAGACCTATTAGAAGACCACGAGTACACATGTGGTGCTAGGACAGAACGCTGCTCAGAATGTGGGGAATTTGTGATGCTTAAAAGCCGTCAAACTCATCGCTGTAAGAAACCCATAGGTAGTTGTGAATTATATACTAATAAGAGGTTCTAGAATGTCTTACAAACCTACAGAATGTATGTATACTATAAATCTATTACTTCAATTTCAGGATCTCGAGAAAGACTTCTGTGTGGCGTTGAATTTGCAATATGAAGATTACATTCAAAATGTACATTCCACAACACTCCAAAAACATATAGGAAGTCAGACTGACACCTCACATCATAAAACAACTGTTGAGAGACCGTCAAATGAAAATGTCGTGTAAGTTTGACGTTTCGTATTTGCCGAAATAATGTGTTGAGCTATTGGTTATTAAAAAAATTAGTTCTATAGTACAACCGTAATGTCAGTACATGAGTATAGTGAAAGCGCCTCGATTAGCTTATTAACCTTTTAGTGTCTTTTTGCAAACTGCAATCTGGAGCCACGACAATTTGGATTAATAGAAGCATGAGTCCTTTCATGGTAAAAGGGATGGTATCATTTGTGTTTAAATGCTATATCTTGCTACTTATTATAAAGGATTGAATGAACAAATTAGTAATATACGATTGCAAATATGTATTCTACCTCGTATTGTTGTGGGACGACGTCAAAAGTATCAGTTTGAGAACTCAAACTAAAATTTATGGATTGTAGCTAAATGTAGAGCGCAGGTTGCTCTTTTTGCCGTCTTGGATTCGTCGGCTGGGTGTACATGCTTCATAGTGTTTATATTCTTACTGGTACTCGAACCAAATATTGTTGATCCTCAGCAGGAGCTTCAGTCAGTAATGTACAACGTAAGATCTGGTACACGTTTACATTAG